GTTACACATTACAATTTTATATCAGGTAGAACATTTTTGTTTTATTTGGTTAAAACGTACTGATGCTGCTCCTGGGCTGCGTAGATGATGTAGTTGTGATAAAGACATCAGGATGATAAATTTCTATATTACTTTGTGTGTACTGTATACTGGGCCCAGGATAAAGGTATATAGAAGGATTGAGTGAGAGAATTTGCCCAAAAGTGAGGTGGTATATGCTAGAAAAAAAAGTATCCTTAAAATTCCATTGTCCGCTAATTATGAGGAAGTCGCTAATAAATAATGAGTTACAGAGCTCTGTATCCTGTTAAATAGGCAATCTCTTCACTTATCTTTAGAAATATCAAATCGAAATTTGACAATAACAATGGGTAGGTACGGTAGGTAAGGACTATGAACCCTGGCGTGACTATGTACATGCGCTAGGTTAAAACAACAGCGCGAAGAGAAAGCGTTCATATTGTGTTGCAAAAAGTGATATTAAACCACATTTTTTGTCCGTCCATGCCTAAAAAGCCTCTGACTTCCTCTAGCTAAATACCTAATATTATGTATATAAAAACAAATGTATACTTGTTCGTATTGTATGCACTGCCATATCATCTGTAAGATCATCTCAAAACTTTTTACACGTTGATAGAAATACACAGAAGGACGTAGGGTAAATTTCATTCTCATTTTCCCGAGAGATGAAAAAAGAATTTTAACATTTATACCTTTTTTTTTGTTGACGGAATGGAAAATCCCTTCGGATCTCCGGCTCCTATGTGGTGATTCCACTAAAAACCACACCGACGGCCAGCCTTAGGCGCCCTGCTCTAGGGAGAACCCGGGCCATGTGATTTCAGGTCCCCCCAGATCGACGCCGCACCTAACTAGGCCCCATCTCAAGGAAAGCCAGTGGCTTCTCCCTGCCTCTCAGCCTATCTAGATGTTGCGGCCCGATCACATTTTCAGTGCCTTCAGGCTGCCATCCTAGCCCTACCGCAGCAATCAATCTGCCACCAGAGGTCCCCACTCTCTGGCGGCCTGCGGTCACGTCGGCTGCTCATTCCGCCGCCGACGTCTTCTTCGCTCGGGCACGGCCCTCTCCCGATCCCGTTCAGCGGTCTCTTTCTGGAGCATTACAGTTTCCCAGAAAGAGACCACTGCACCCCAGCCCTCCTCACCTGCCAGCATTTCAATAATGATTGCTAGCGGGGACCAGTCTCTTCCGATTTCATTGACCAGGACTTCGCGTTCAGACGCCCACGCGGGGCAGTCTTCCAGCGTGTGCTGGGCGGAGTCCCAATCGGCCGCGCAGTGCTGGCATTGTGCCGTCTCAATCTCTCGCGTCCAATCCGATTCAGGTACTCACCGAAGCAGCCATGCCCAGTGAGCACCTGCGTCAGTCGGTAGGTGACGCGATCTCCCAGACAGCACGTTGGCGCGTATTCCGCGACTGTTCCAACCGCGCGCGCCACTACGCCAGTGTCTGTCGGTGAGCGTTCCGCCGCATTTCGAGCTCGTCCTTTTCGTTCCCGCTCTCACCCCGGCGGATCGCGCGAGTCTGGTCGTAGACCCTCGCGTCCATATCCGCCAGGATATCAAAACGCGGGAAGCGTGCCAGGACTGTCGCCGCCTCTGACGATATGGTGCGGTATCCCCGCTACGATATGGCCGCTACCCGCTGCGCTTGATTGAGCTTAGCTCGGCACCGGAAGGAGGCCGATAAGCGCTTTGCCCATATCGGCGCTCCATAGAGAGAGAGAGAGAGAGAGGGGCGAACTTCCTCCCGCGGACCCCCCAGATTAGGCAATAGCCTCTGTAGGGAACATTTATACCTAGTACTTAGTAACAATCATTTATTTGACAAAAAGTTCAAGGGTATAAAAATTCCAGAATAAAAATCGAATTTACCAATTGCCGATGGTCTAAAGCACAATGGCCAAAATTGTTCGCATTTTGTAGTTCTGTGACATAATAAATTATTAAAAGAACACTGAAAGGGTTCGGAAGGAAATTCCTCACTCGAAATGGTAGTAAATCAACTCTTATCACAGGTATAACGGGTTATCCAGTGTGCGTAAAAAGGGCACTCAAAATTAAATACAATTGGACAGTCGAGTCAGTTTGGTGTTTTTCAGTTACATAAATTTAGTTCAAATTTAAAGTTTGTTTCTTTAAGCATTATTTTACAAGTTTTTTTCTAAGACATAAGAAAATATTCAAATAATTTATTTTAATTTAGTTCATAATTTACGTCGTTTGCTGTCCACCAATACACAGTAATTTTATCAGAAATCTTGTAAAGATAGTGATTTTTATAGATAGTGATTTTACATTCCGAAAATGACTATACACATAATTAATATACTATACTACGTATAGAATATCTAACTTATATATACTACCACTACCACTGAAAATCCACGCTTGGGGAACATTTTCTTTAGTGATGAAGCCCATTTTCACATCGGAGGTTATGTGAACAAACAACAACAAAGCAAGGATGTGCACAACCCAAAAAAATAATAGGTCTTTACCTATTAAATTGCCGTTTTGTATGCAATAAGTAATAGTCGGTAGGTGCAAGGTCTGGTGGTCACATCTGTAACCAGCTTTGGTCAATCGGTCGTCCCCACTGCTCATTCACGACAACGCGCGACCCCATACTGCGCAACAGACAGTCTCCAAGCTGCAAGAGCCGGGGTTGGAAGCTCTGCCCCATCCGCCATACTCACCAGACCTTGCACCTACCGACTATTACTTTTTCCAAAATTTAGACAACTTTTTAGTGGGTAAAAAATTCAATTCAAAAATTCCCGAGAGGCAGTACAAAATGCCTTTGAAGAGTTTGTTGCCTCCCGTCCAGCTGATTTTTACAAGAAGGGCATCAATAAACTGCCAATGCGTTGGCAAAGATGCGTCGATTGCATGGGTGATTACTTCGAATAACAGAAATAAAAAACTCACTTAATACATACAAAACGGCAATTTCATAGGTAAAGACCTAATATTTATTTATATATATTTTAACCAAAACACTTGGTTTCAACAGGATTATGGTTCTTTTTCATATAAATTTTTAAAGTTAATAAATCTGCAGCTGAACATCCTGTACAAATAAATCACCTCAAAGCGATAACATGAAAATGTAGTTTGTAGGCTAAATAATTATTGTATTATTTGGAATCAATTTAATTAGATCTGCCTAAAGTTAGTTACCTATAGGCCTGCATAGAAGTTTTATACAAAAATATGTCTCTACTTCTCCCCAATACAAAGGCTTGCTTACTTAGCAGGCAACTTATACTCACTGCTTAGACAGTTAGATTCCATAGTTCACGCAACTTCCGATTGATGCCAATCAGCAAATAAAAAACCGTCTTACGCATTTAACACACATTGAGAATGTAAAGTAACTATTATAATAGCGGTACACGATTAAATTTAAGCTTTATTTATTTGCACGAAAAATACTATTCATTAATTTTAGTAACTTAACCATCTGTTGTATTTTAATTTGAAACAGTTGTAATTATTTTAAAACAGTACTCAATTTTCGATCGATTCACGACCTACATATATGTAGTATACAGTATTACTTATACAACTCTGACCTGGATAGATTTGAATCGATGGTCGACAGGTTCGGGCTTAGCACAACAGTATAGGATTGGTTTAGCATTTTTATTCTGAAACCACAACCCAAAACTCAACATCGTTTAAAAAAAGATTATTAAGATGGAACGAGGTAGACTTTGCAAATACGGAATTTATGCTCTCGATTGTCGGCACTTGGAGGAACTTGTTGAAATATTACATTTTATGAAATCAAACTCACTTAAAGGTACTTATTTTCCAGTATTTAATTTAATTTGGCGTGACCGGTTTCGCCTTATAGCCATCATAAATAATAATAAGGAGAGGCTTATGATAATGATGATGAAATACAAGTGAGTTTGATTTCACAAATACAGAATTACTTCAGAGGGGATGAGAGGGGAGTCTTAGAACATGAATCATTATTAAATGCATGCTCTACAACTTAAAGGATTCGCGATTTCGATTTATGCATGAATTAAGGATATTATTATTTTTACATCTCACCCACGGCAGTCTAATCCCAAACTAGGCAGAGCCAGTAATGTGGTTACCAGACTTCTGGTAAACATACTTATATATTTCTAAATACATACTTGATATATATTATAGATAAATTACACCCAGAAATAGAACAAATGACCGTGCTCATCACATAATATTTGTCCTGATCACGTTCTAGACCAACAGGCAATTCTAAATAGATGTGATTATTAAGTTGTTTTTATCTCATCAAAGAAGGTTAAAGACGAAGGCTGTTTTCTTCGGTTTACTGTTTAATCCATTATTTGTATTAGGTAACATGCAAATACTTTAAAAGAAGTAGTTACACCTACTTTTTTAAATAGATTTTTAACAAGCAAGTTTGAAGTCTCAAAAACAAAAGGTTAGGTAAAGAGTAGGTTCTTAATACGCCTCATTCCTTCTGTGTATATTACGCAATATCTACGCGATTGGAGAACCGATTTCAGGTTGTACTCAAGGTTAGTCCTATTCAAAATTGAGAAAAAGTATTCCACCTCTAGGAAATGAAAAATACAATTTATATTTTTTTCTTGATTGCCGTTTTTGGATCAACTTTATTTAGGCAGTTTAGTCTAAAACATAATTTTCGATTCATCATCACTTGAATAAGACTTCAGTAAATATATTCTTTTACTATCAACATAAATGTTCATTAGTCTAATAATCACAGAAACAAACAAAACAAACAATTAAAATAACCACGTTCGCGTGCACATTCGCTACATTCGGATTCAAATTTATCGGAACCAATTAGGAATCGGAAGTATAAAATCAATCGTAAATTCTAAACTTTCGGAACCGGAATCTGTAACATCCCTAGTATGTATAGGTGTGTCAATTTCAATTGGCATGGTTATGCTAAATGAACGTCTTACTACGTCCTTTCACAGATCCACAAAAACATCATCCTAGAATCGACTTCCCTATGCGCTTCCTGAGTTTTGGTGAGACCTTGCGAGCTAATTGCACTACAGCACCGGCCTTGCCAGCTCCTCATATCACGTGGTTCATCAATGGGCGCAAGGTATTTAAAATTAACGATGTAAACTGGAAAAACAAATGCTGTGCTGTGAGCCTGTGCTATGATAATGACTGGTGATAAACATACTTATATATTTCTAAATACATACATATTATAGATAAATTACAACCAGACACAGAACAAATCATTGCGCTCATCACACAATTATTTGAAATAAGATATTAAGATACTCATGATATGTCTAAATCTAAGCCTAAACCTCAAGCCTAATCAAAAAACAGTAGCAGTAAAATACCATTCCATCTTTCTATTGCACTACTGTATTTTTTTACAATTTCTAGATGGATGAACTTGTTGCTCAGTCTCACAAGTTTCGCGTACCGATGAGTGAACGAAGTGGAAGGAGAGGTCTTCAGAGAAGTTTCGAATATGATCACAGTCTCAGCAGTCCTCCTCCACTTTTGACCCTCACGCACGCATCCCACGTCGCCACTCGTCCACCTGGCTGCAACCTAAAAGAACATCAGGTAATATATTTTTAAGTCGTTAGTTTTAAGTTATAATACGTGGGGCATACTGACAGTCTCTGGATCTGGCCACTTACAATAAAAGAAGGAAAAACTAATAATGGAATTCAAAAATGGAATTCTTGGGGAACATATTACTTTTTAATTTGCGAGACTGTCATTTGTTTTCACATTGTACCGTCCTTTCGATAATTGTAGGTCGCTATCAAAATGAATTTAACTCGTGAACATTTTCATTCAATGATTTTTTATGATTTCGTTGTGGCTTAAGTTAACAAGAGAGTTGCCAGAGAATTCAATTGGTATTTAGTGATGAAGCATCATGTCGCAGCTCTGTGTATTCGTGGTTTGGAGAATTTAGACGTGATCATCTCCATGACGAGGTACGTGAATGCGGTCACAGACTCTAATATTGACACCGTACGACAACTTATTGAAACTAACAAAAAAATTAGGCTTTGTTAGGCATTGGAATGAGTCAAGTGCAGAACAGTTTCTGAAGCTTTACACTCGATGAATACCGCATCTAATATACACATTATACGTGTGCGTTTGTGTTTCCTTTAATAATACATGGGTTTCAGCAAATGCAAAAATGCATTAATTGCGAGAGAATGTACTGTGAAAAACAATAAATAATAATAATAAATTCTTTATTTAGAACTGACAACAGATTACAGTAAATCAAATGTGTTTGATAATGACTGCATTAGTGAAATACTGTATAAATGTATCGGGAGTCGTATATCTATCTAGTCTTATTTATCAGAACCTAGAAACTTTCAATATGTCCTAAGAAGCCGTCCACACCAAAGACAACTTTATTCCGCTCAAAATACTCTACTTTCCATTCCTCTGAAGCAACTGATAAAGAACAAGACTACAGAGAAATATTAACTGTGCAAAAGGTCCGAATTAACACTTTCGAGATTGAACAAGTCTTAACACATCTACAAATGTAAATATTTATAGATCACTAACAAAAAACAGATACAAATAAACAATAAGAAGATAATAAATAACTTTTTTTATTTCATACAAAAATAATTTAATCCGTGGATTGGCACCCACAACAATTGATTTAGCGAGTACAGATAACAGATTGACTGACTGATTATTTAGGCATATTGTTGCGCCATAGTAGTTGCTAGTATATACATTATAATCTATGGGTTAATCCTTGTATTGTATAGTTAGTTCATGAACAATCAAGAGTCGTATGGAATCTGGAGGACAGCGCCATCTAGTATCAATTGATGCACAACAACCACCACGCGTTGTAATATTGATACTTGGTGCACCATCTAGTGTTGAATATCGGAAAATAATAGCTCAAAGCAATCCGTGTATTCTTTAATATACGTTGGTCTACCTGGAAAGTGCTATCGGATCTGCGGGATTACTCTAGGTGGCCCTATATAAGCGAAGCGTGATGGTCGTACGACACAGGCCACACATCCCGGACAACACCATGGGGGACTTCGCGACAAGCCGCTGCCTCTGTCGCTGGTCGCTCGGAGCTGGGCCTCCCCAGGCTCGCCTGGGGTCTCACCTGGCTCGAGCTAGACCGCCGAGGCGGCGTGAAGAGCGAAGCCCCTCAAACTCAAACTCAAACCTACCATAAGGACAGCCCAGGACCTACCCCTGTTTAGGGGTAGCGGTAGATATCGCTGGCAGGGGGCTACAGCCCCGAACCAGCCACCACGCGTCCCCTGCGGGACGGTGTGAAGACCAGCAAGGTACGACACAGTATTGTTTTACGAGACAGCGGATTGACATTGAAGCGACATTCTAGTGAGGCTAACGAGTTATCAGTAGTTTATTGTTTGTAATAGTGAGTTTTTGTAAATACAATGCAATTTTAGTAATTAACCGACTACTTTTATTAAATGTTTTTGAACTGAAACATCTAATGCGGAGCGTTGAGAGAAGTCGGTTAGGGAAATCAGGATTAAAAAGTGAAACAGGGTGGATATTAATATAAATAAGACTTTATTTATTCCTACAACTATCATCACTGATATTACCAACGGTTTTATCTATCACTGGTTTTTAAACTGCATTAATTTTGTATAAATATATATGAATACATTTCTGTGAGTTAGCTTTTTTCATTAAGAATGTTCCATCCTTCTATTGTTCGCCAACCCTTAAAAGTCAGAGATATTGAATATATGATGTGAGCAAATTACACTGTTTATTGTAGGTATCCAGGTAAGGTATAGGTTTTCATAAAAGTTCTTCGATTGAGTCTTTAAAGACGGATCTTTAAGAATTATATAGAAATATACATATATATTATAAATAAATAAAAACAAAGTGGTCGTAGTTCATGCTTAGTAATTTTAATATAATGTATTAATACTCGTAAGTATTATATTATAGTTCATTAGACGCAATTTTAATATTGAAGTATATTAAAGCCCACAATCCACATAATTATATTAATTATATCCGAAAACATAATCTCAAAAATGATAGAGACATATGTAGATGTAATTGTTTTATCGATATCTAACTATTTATAAACCGGTAACAACACTATTAGCAACACGGCATTCGGATCGGTCGCTCCACCGATCCGAATAGGATTTCTCAGACAACGACGTTTATGCCATCCTGTTTTCGGAGACTTGGGTCAAACCTCACCTCCCCTCCACCTCCTACCCTCTCACCGGCTTTGTCCTTATCCGCAATGACCGTTTGGACAAAAGAGGTGGCGGCGTCGCTATCTAACTTCGTAGTATTTTCCCCTATAAAATTCTAGCCTCCTCCTCTTCCAGTATTTCCACAAATGCTAAATATCTGTTTCTGGAGGTTAGTGTCAAGGGAGTTAACGTTATTCTTGATGTAATCTACTGCCCACCTGCTGTGAACTACTTCTCCAGTCTGGAAACAGTTCTGGAATCTTTAGGGTCACATCACATCATCATGGGAGATTTCAACATAGACCTCCTAGCCTCAAACTCCTCCCATATACACAATCTCCTTTACATTATCCATTCAATCAGCCTCCACCTCCTGCCCCTTCAAGCCACTCACCACAACATTTAACACCGGGATACTTGGCTCGACCTAATTCTCACCTCCTCCCCGAACCTTGTTTCTGCCCACGGCCAACTCCCAGCCTCCGGTTTTTACATCCACGACTTGATCTTCCTATCTTACATACTGAAAACTCCTAAATCACCTCCCAAATTTCTACGGATTCGCAGTTTCCAGCTCATGCTTGAAAAACTAGGCGCTGACGACGGCAGCAGCTACCGACATGGACAAAAAAAATCGATATTTTAATGACCATATTGTGAAACTGTATGACATCCACGCTCCTGTGAACACAATAAAGATAAACGCGCCCCGGCACTATGGATTACAGAGGAGGTCCGAACAACAATGAGACGAAGAAATCAGACCTTTCTTAGGTTCAGGAAAGACCGGTGCGAGGTAAAGTGGAACCGTTATAAGGCTGCAACGAATCGATGCAACCAGATGACACGCAACGCAAAACGCAGACACATTCTACAAAACATAGAGTCTTCCTCTTCTTCCGGTGTCAGGAAATTTCTTGGCACTTTAGGTAGTGGCAAACTACAACATTCTGAGTTTCAGAATACAATTGGTCTGAATTACATCAATCGCTATTTCTCATCCACAACCCTCTTGAATCTTCAGACTAAATGTCAAACGCTGAACTACATATCTGGCCTCACCAGCCCCAATACCGACTCATTCGAATTTTCTTCTGTGTCTTCTGGGGAAATCAAAAAGATTATCCTATCCATCCCCTCTAATGCTGTGGAGTATGATGGCATTAGCCGACGCATGATTATTACCATTCTAGACCATATTCTCCCAGTAATTACTCTCATCATTAACTTCTCGCTCGACTCAGGAACCTTTCCCTCGCTTTGGCGTAAGGCTTACATCATTCCTCTTCCTAAAAAACTAACCCTTCACTTCCTGAGCACTTTCTACCCATTTCCATTCTTCCCTTTCTATCAAAAGTACTCGAGGCTTGTGTTTACAAGCAGCTCTCAAAATTCGTATACAGACACAAACTACAAAGACCTCTACAGTCTGGCTTTAGGCCTGGCCACAGCACTATTACCTTAAGGTCACCAGTCACTTTAAAGTGACTGGTGATATCCGAAAGGGCATGGTAGAAACCAAAGTTACAGTTCTGGTCTTAGTTAATTTCTCCAATGCATTCAATACCGTCAGTCACGAAATCTCACTATCAATCCTTACATATCTCAAGATTCCCCCAGAAGCACTGGAATGGTTCTCCACATATCTGATTCGGATTGTCAGTGAACCCCACCAAATGCCAGGCAATCCGATTAGATACAGCTTTTATCCCACCGTCTTCAACGGCTCAGTTATACCGTGGAGTCCAGTAGTCAAGGACCTAGGCCTGCTCATCAACTCAACCCTTGATTGGCGTGCTCAGGTTACTCAAGTGAGTCAGAAAGTAACCGGAAACATGCGAACGTTATACCGTCTTAAGAATTTCCTGCCACCTAAAACGAAAATCTCTCTCATGCAGTTCCTAATTATCCCTATAATTGATTGATTTATGTGTGTTACTTCGACCTGAATGCAGACCTCCTTAACAAGCTAGACCGTCTTCTTAATAACTGCATTCGATATATATTTAATCTTCGAAAGTATGACCACGTCTCTGCTTTTCGTTTCCAATTGCAATGGTTGCCCGTTCGCCTGCGCCGTAATCAGCGAGCGCTGACCTCTCTATTTTCATTCCTCAACTTCCCATTTTCACCCGTTTCCTGTCCACTAATCACGATAAAAATCCTCGCTCAACAAATAATTTGCTTCTCCCACAATTCCGAGTTTGTAAACTCTTCATTCTTTGTTTGTAAGCTTTGGAATGCGCTCCCACTTGAGATCAGGATGTCCACAAACCGTTTCACATTTGAAAAGAATGTACATAACTATCTTCTTCAGCTGGCGGAATCACCTACTCAATAGTACACCTCCAT